CGAAATGCTCGCGTTGTATTGATTTAATCAACTACCACGGTAACTGGTGTTGTGTGTGTGTGTGTGTGTGTGTGTGTGTGTGGATGTCACGCAAACCACTTCTGTGCTCCGAGTAGGCATGCGCGAACGATGCTTTCCATAATGTGCAATGGGTCGGTTCAGACGACGTCCTTGAACTGATGTGACGCCTATTGGTGATCTTGACAGGGCACAGTGATGAGTCACGTCGATCTGGATCGCGTGAACATGGGATCGGCTGACGCGTGCCTCATTTTGGCCAACAGTCGTGCAGTTGATCCAGCTCAAGAGGACGCCGCCAACATAATGCGAGTCGTCGCGGTGAAGAATTACGCCAGCAGCGTTCGAGTGATCGTGCAACTGCTTCAGCAATGCAACAAGGTGAGCCTCTGTCCGATGGTAAATATGTGGTTTTAATGAGGTGATGAAATCGCGCGCAGATATAAATTTCAGCCAATCGGCGTCAATGTTGCATGTAGGCGCCAAGTTTTGCCAAACCAGCATGGTTTTGTCTGTTGCGCTGTAAATGCGCACATTCTTTGTCGAACAGGACTTGCCTTTTAACACCGAAACTCATGACGATAAATCAGTTAACAAATGTCGAGCGGAAATTCGAAACCAGCAACCAAAAAAACACGGCGCTGTCTTTGCCAATATTTGGTGCATTTGAACACTTTTTGGTCATTTTCGACGGAGACTATAATGGAAGACGACTCCGAGAATTTCGATTTAAACAGAGAACAGATATTTTTCACACTACACTACACTTTTAACCCTTCTGAAAACTCAGTTTATATCTTTTTCGGACTGGTGACCCGCTTCATGTCAAATTCAGCCCCACCCAGAACGCAGTTCAAATGCCGAGTCAAATTTTATCGATTTTCTACGACATCACACGACTTGAAATCTGATTGGATGGGAATCGTTTGCCTATCAATGCTCGCGGTTTGCCAATCGATATAGAGAATTACAATGTCTTTCATGGGATAATGAATGAATCGCGTTTGGTGGTGCCTCATTCACTAACCTTGTATTTTCTTTGGATCGTCTACTTATTGTTTATTAGTAGCAGGTTCATTGATTCCCAAATTAGCAGCCGAAAGCAGTGGATTCGGATGAAAATTTACAAGATGGGATATTTGGCTGAAGGTTGAAAACGCTAAAATTCTTGACAATACACGAGAATGACATCGAAAAAGATCTCTTGACTTCACTGATAAAGTGGTAGTCATGTCAACGCGACGGTTATAAAAGCGTTTTTGTCCACGAATGGATAAGCATCTGATTGGTTTCTAACAGTTTTTAAGTGAGTCTGGTATCGGTAACCTTTTTCTTATGCGCCGCCATGACAACGAGGTAGACGCGGTTATTTATTACCCAAGATTTAAAAGTGTAAGAAGAATTACAATTTTGGCACTGTAGCGAAAATCAAAGCAAGAGTTGTGAACAGTTGATTCAGACAAATTTTCGGTAGAAATTGTTTTCAAAACAACCTACCTACTTATGTAAATTAGGTAGTGTATTTTGATGCACATAAAACTACTTTTTGAGGCGTTAGGTTAGACTAGTTAACCAGAAGCGCAAGTGGAACTTGCTCAAAGTTGGGTTGCCTAGTGGCCCACCAATATTGAAAGCAAATTTAGTGACATAATGAGAAAAGGACGCTTAAAAGTTCTCAGTAGCTAGGTTTTTTATTTAAATATTTGTTGCAAATACGGTGGGTATGTAGGGGGTGCGGGTGATGGAGGGTGTGTGGTCTGTTTAACTCCCCAACTGGCCTCCTTCATCGTCCGTCTGTCCCAAATGCGTGAAGAATATGCGGAGCAGGATGATGTTAAGGCAGATAATGGCCAGCAACGAAATATTGGAGCGAATCCATTCCTTAAGTCGAAAAACAGTTAATTGGTTTAAATAATTTCGTCTGATAAAAAACCCTGTCTACATAATTCATGCCACTTTCAATTAGCTAAAATCGTTCGAATGGACTGTCTTGTCACAGTTTAGTTAGTTAGCCTTAAATTCTCCGCGTCACCATTGGCCGAAATCTGATTGGCCGATTCAGGGACGAGTGACCACGGTATTGGTCAGCCAAAGGTCAGGTGTGTAATAATGACCAATCACATTCGACTTAAGGAGAGTTAGCGTGGTGAACTGTAGGTCATGGTGTAGCATTCAAAATACGTGACTTTCGCTAAAATACTTACGAAAATGTCTGATACTTGGAGAATTGACTGGCTACTTTCAGTGGATGGCGTGTGTGGATGGCGTCTATCGATCAGTCCAGCGGCCATCAATTGGGACTCTGACGTGTCCTGATAGTCGGGCACCAGCTGACTGAACGAGGTGATTGCGGGTGAATTCACGGGGAAGCCATTTTCCATGGGAGTTGGGGTTACTGACGGCTTCTCCTTAGAGGGCTCCTTAAATAATATTATGAAAGTGGTAACCAAAGTCGCCTTCTGATTGGCTGAGGAATCAACCAATAGGAAATAAGTGTTCGCTCAATCGCCTTCACCATTGGCTTACTTCACTTTTTCCCCACGACCAAAAGGCGAGCTTTGAAAGGAATCCGAAGGAATCGCTGGAGCTAGGGGAGATTTCAGGCGACGCCTTTTCAACCACCACCGACTTCAACTTTTCTGGTTGGACCAGAACCTCCGGTCGCGTCAGCTTAGCTTGATGCAGCCCCGTCGTCGCCGTGGCTCTGGCCGTGATTGGTGGAGGCAGTGTGGTGTAGTAGTCGAAGTGATTGCTAAACAGCGTCGGATTGGCCAGCAACTTTGTCAGCGGACAGGCGGGAATCTCGTATTGGTGTTTCAGCTCGGTCACTTAAAAAAATAAAAAAGATTCAAACTTTGCCGGATTTTACCTACGAAAGGCATCACGTGAGACGCAGGAGGGAAATCGAAATCACCAGCAAGTCAACTCACTGTCAGGAATTTCAACATACGACCCGTCGACTTCGTCATCAGCGACGACGCTCCTTCGTCTGCCTCTCCGCTTGCCACCGGGCACGTGGAGGTAGCCTCCCGTCGGCGTGGTGGCTCTGCCACTGGCGTTGAGGGGTCCGTTCTGCTGGCGCTTCGTCGGCATCATTTCCGCGGCCCATCGATCCGCCCGGAGGTCCGTCGCAGCTGCGCGGTCGCCACTCGACGTCGCGGCAGCAGCAGCCTTCTTCTTCTCTTGGTCCAGTTGGTGCTGCTGTTGTTGCGACTTGGATTTAAGTTGCTGCTTGTCCGCTTTCAGCTGCTGTTGACGCTGCGCTTCTACCGCCGAGTCCATCACCACCTTGGGGTCCTCGCCCATGAGGAGTCGCTGTTTGGGGGGAAGTGGGACATCTGCGATTATCGATTTTACAAGCATACCTAGATACAGGATTGGCTGATGCAAAATTCAACCCATGAGTTTACGACAAAGTAGTTTGGGGGCTTCATGGAGGATATGTGATTATGCTGTGATTTTTTTCTTCAATTTTTTTTATTTATTCCGCAGACAACTCTACAGACAAAAAAATTCGACAAAATCAAAGCCGCGATTAAAGGCAATCGAGATTAAAAATTACCGTGATGTTAGGTCAAGTCCGTACAGCCAATCATGTTTTTTTATTTGTTAAGGGTGTTTGTTCTCTTATTAACCGAGGACAAACAACACTGGTCGTCGAACTAGTTTTGCTACTAGCAGCTTAGGTGCAGGAATCGTCAATTTTGCAAAACTGATTGTAAAACCGCCAATGTACATCAAAGATAACACCGTCAGTTGGGTGAAATTACAATAAAAGAGAGCAACATAACCAGAATTTACAAGTTGAAAAGGAACCATCATATCGCCGTGCATTTTGAAGGCTTTTTTAAAATTCCACGAATAGCAAAAGTTCACAAGTATTAACGATGACCCACTATCTCGGATTGTTTACATTTAGTGACATTTAGGGGTCGAAATTATATTTTAAAAAGAATGATCGACCAATGCGTTACCGACAAGGGAGTTTGGGGTTTCATTAAGAAAATGCAATTATTATGTGATTTTTTTCTTAAATTTTTAATAATAATTTTTTCTTCAGACAACACTAAAGTTAATTTTCCTTGTAATATTGGTTAAAGGCAATCAGAAATATTCGACAAATCTATGCAACAAAGATCAAAAATGACAGCAGAACGTGTCAATTATGCAAAATTGATTGTAAAAGCGCCAGTGAACAAGCTAAGATTAAAACAAAGGAAAGTAACACCGCTGGAATTGACAAATCAAGAAGGAACCATCATATGAGGGTGCATTTTGAAGGCTTTTTAAAAATTCTATAAAAAGCGGACGTTCACAAATATTAACAATGATCCACTGTCTCTGTTTATTTTAAGTCCACTTAAGAGAGGGGAAGGAAATTACGGATATTTCAGGAAGAATGATCGACTAGAGCTTATCCACAAACACCAAAGTTATTTTCTTGATGTGATTTTTTTCAATTTTTATTGATTTTTTCTGCAAACAAGTCTAAAAGTGAAATTACCTTGCAATATTGGTTTAAAGGCAGAAATATTCAAAAAAAATCAATGCAACTGAGATCAAAAATGACGGCAGGAATTGTCAATTTTGAAAAATTGATTATAAAACCGCCAATGTGCAAGCTAAGATTAAAACAAAGGAATGTAACAGCCTATTGATTAAAAAATCATTAAGGAACCATCATATCGCCGTGCATTTTAAAGGCTTTTTAAAATTCCATGAATGGCAAACGTTGACATATATTTAAGATGACCCACTATCGCTGGTTGGTTAGTTTGAGTCCCCTTTAAGGAGCATAAGCCTCACCTCGCGCCTGCGCAACTCCTCGGCCATTTTCTGGGCGCGCGCGCGTCGCTGAGCGCGCACCGAGCCGGCCCTGGAGGCGGCCAGCTTCTTCTCCTGGAGCTCCTTCAGTTGGGAGGTGAATTTGGGGGGCAGCGTCAAGTCCTCCTCGGGCTGCTCCTCCTCTTCCGTGTCCTCGTCGCCGTTGCGCGTGAGGCCCCGCACGATGCCCGCGATCACGTCCTTCGCCGACTGCAGCGCCGCCTCGAACGTCGGACTGCCCTGCCGCGTCACTCGCATCATTCGCACGATGTCCTCCAAGTACTTGATACCTGCCGACCAATCAAATCGCTCCGCGATCAATTTTAGTTTATTGGCTGTAAAAAAATGCCTAACAACCAATCACGTCACTCCGTGGTCAATTTTTGTTTATTGTACAGTTGGGGAAAATTTAAGTTATTTTCAAACTTGGAACACGACAAGGGTCATGTGAGCATGAAATTGAAGACAAGTTAAAACTTCCAATCACAATGCCTGCCATTTTTGGTACTCGACTTAGGGTGATAATCGGTTATTTAGGGTGAAATAAACCAACAGTGAACAATTCAAAACTCATTCGCTGATGGCTTCAGTCTTATTGGCAGATTAGTTGGAGGAATTATTAAAATACTTATTTCAAGAGTTATTTTACCCAAAAAAATCTATATTTAAGGTAGAACAATGCATCATTCGCACTACGTCCTCCAAGTACTTTATACCTACCCACCAATCAAATCGCTCCGAAATCAATTTTAGCCTAATTGACCTTAACTGATGCTTAACAGCCAATCACGTCACTCCGTGGTCAATTTTTGTTTATTGTGCAGCTGGGGAAGATTTAAGCTATTTTCAAACTTGGAACACGACACGATAAGTGTAAAAGTTGTCATAGCAACAAACCTGGCTGTTCAAAATCCGGATACATCTCGCGGACGAGTTCTCGAGCCTCAAGGGAGTAATCGCGTGCGCAGCTAGCGGCAGCCTTAGCCTTCTCGATATAATCGAGAATTTTTATACTGACTCTAAATACGAAAGGGCAACAATGTTAAAAACTGCAACATTACACGTCAGGAAAATTGTTAGTTTTCATGTTACTTTCATCAACCAATCGCATGTGACCGACTGTCCTCTGATTGGTTGCTTTATTTGGACACCTCGTGATCCAGCCAAATTGGCTGTCGGTTCTAATTTTACAATGATTTCCACTCTTCTGAGACATCCGCAGAATGCATTTATAACTGAAGAGAGTTCAAATGATTCGTACAATTCACAATCAATGCTTCAAATCCGGTGCTAACTCACTGTTCCCTGGCCTCGATCGCCTTCTTTTGAGCTTGCTCCGCTACCAGCATGGCCTTCTGCACCGTCTTCTGGACTTCCTGCATGATGTGGCGGTTGTAGAGGACCATGTGAGGTTTGTTGCCGGCAGGCAGTGCCAGGTACACGAGTTTCCCGTTGCGGTACCGACCCTGTTCAAAGGTCCCGTCGGGGAAGCACGTGTGTCCGTAGCCATGGCGAAGGTTCTTGAACCACTGGCCGTAGTAGACGAGGCCGTCGGTGCGCTCGCACACCCCGAAACCGTGTCGCGCGTCCGAGAACCACTCGCCGGAGTAAACCTCCACCGTGTCGTCCGCGATCAGGTCCAATTCCAGCTAAAGTCGATTTCAACAAGGTTAACCCCTTCACAGTATCACGCGCATGATGATTATTCTCGTTTTAAAAGGAGTCAGTTTAGCCAATGCACTTGTTCAAATAACTACCAATCAGATATGTGCGTTAGTTTGAAATTGGGAACATTCGGGAAACGGGGACAGTGTTGGCAATGCCATAATGAATTGAATCCATGTAAATCTTTTTAGTCAAGAACCCCATTTATGCCTTTTTCTTGAAAACGGCTTAGAGTGTCAGCCGGACGCGTGTTTTGGCACTCCCACCCGCAAACTGATTGCTCCTATTGGTTCAACTCAAGGTCACCTGAAGTACTAAAACAGTAATTCTTGGATCATGGTCAATTTCGCTTTAGTCGATGATAAAAGGATTGTATCGGTTTATATTAAATTACCTAAGATCAAGCCGCGGAAACTATCGCAGCAAATCAATCAGATTTCCATTTCCTATCGATTATTCTTTGTTTTACTAATCCCAGTGGCATTTCCGCTTCCTCTACCTGGCAATCTTCCTGTTTTTCGGAATTTTTGAGGCTGAAATCTTGGAATGTGGGATTTCACTGAGTTCTGTGACTTACTAGATCGCATAAATTAATTACAAGCAGGAGTGTACGCAAGCATTACTGCGGTTTGTGGTCTAGAGGGTTTCTGGTGTTAAAACCACACAAAGTGAAGTCTAAGCGCATTAAAACAGCAAGAGACGCATACAACAACTGGGTTTAAGAAGTTGGCTGCCAAATTTCTATTTTTATCTAGAAAACAGCAACTCAAAAGGTCAGGTTTCGACACACGTCACTCGTAATTTGTGGTGGATTTGATGTCGTTTTGGGGAACTAAAAGGGATCTCTACTAAAGGTTTTTTCTGCGGTTGGTTTTCAGGATGTGTGATGTCAGCACAGAATTGATGCAGAATAAATTAACTTGGTAGAAAATGTTGCTTCTCTTCGTGCTCTAAAACAGGCTATCATCTCCTAGCCAACAGTGCTGATAGGATTATCGACCAGTGATAGTTTTGACCCTTAGCTGGCTCATTGACCAATCAGCGGAGCTCAAATTTCGAATCGGTGATTGGCTGGTTTAGTCGCGTACCACATTATGAATTTAAGGTTGCGTTAGCAAGTCACATAAGTGGACTACCACACTTTCGTTTGAATCGGAAAACTTTACTGAAAAACGTTAGATGCTGCTAATGTGGATAGAATGCTTTGTATATTTGAAAAGCCCGCGTTCATAGCTTTTCAATTTAAACAACGCTGGCACATATATCTCTCAACACAAGGATATTTAGCCCGATTTAAGCGGGTAAATTAAATTAAGAGGTAAACTATGGGGGTTATCTAGTTATTCTAAAGAAGCGTAAAATACTTAAGACGCAATGCGGCGATTCGAAAGACTGTTTACGATGTCCTTTTCAGTCACGTGATTGAACTAATTCCCCTTCGCTGGAAACAGATGGTTTTAACGGAAAAAAGTTCGACACTTCTGCCGTAACATAAAAAACCCGCCCCCGTGGTTTCGCAATTTAAACAACGCCGAACATTCGACCATAATTGAAGAGGTAAACTAAGGTGGAATCCAAAGCAGATAACACAAATATCCGGTTGTTTTAATATGACGCGACAGGTCACTTACGGTGTCTTTCTCAGCTGGCACAACCTTCTGCGGAGTTGCCGACCTGTGAGGCAGGGAGTTAGAGGAATGGTAGATGTCACGCATCTGTCGAACGCATCCACTCGGCGGACTCTGGAAGGTCTCTTCGGGGTAGGTGAAGAGCATCGACAGAGACTGGGTCCTCTTGCGTCCGGCCAGAACCGGCGTCGTGCATCCGAGGGGATTCAGTCGAGGGTGTTTGAGCTTGTTGAGGCGTTTTATGAAGAGATCCGAGCGTTTGGAGGAGAGCATGAAGCCGCAGCGCTGGGTCACCATTAGTCTGTAGGTGGCACTCTGGTGGCGGTGCGGACTGGTCAGGGAGTTGGCGGTGTCGCGGGGGGCTGTGTAGGGCTCCGGGTCGTTCGCGCCGTCCTCGACGCCCTCGCCTTCAGACGAGTTGTTGGCGTCGCCGACTGCGTCGCACGGCACGTCAATGGACCCGCCATCCAAGGACATTCGACGGTCGCGTCTTGTGGTGACTGCGGAGGGCAACTTGCCGCGTTTCCGGAGGTCTTCCAGCTTGCTGGAGTTCGAGGCCTTCTTGATCTCCGGGTAGAGTTCGAGCACTTCTCTGTAGGTTATCGATCGACGGACTCCTAGCCCCTCGCGAATTCCATTCTTGTATTCACCGCAGTAGGTTCCTAACCAATCAGAACCAAGCAGTTTTAGTGAAAGACCGCCTTTTTAGTGAGCCACATACTGTACAGCATTTGTGGACTTGTACATTACTTGTAGCGACATGAATATTCCACACACAACACATTGTCTACATAGCGTTCCTGTTAAAGTTGAAGATCCGGACCATTATGGATTCCCTGGAACACTCATTCTCCTGCCGACAATGGCCGACAGTCGGTGACGCAGCGAAAAGAAGCTGAATGACGAGGGGCAACAGGAAGAGTGCATGAGCGTCAACCTTAACTTATGCGGGCAATCATGCAACAGCGCATTAAAACAACGCGATTAATAGCACAGTTAACCTAAGGCACTTGAACTCTTCCAGTACCTAAGTGCAGTCACATTTGCGGAGGATAAGGTCTTAGAACAGAATCGCCACTGAATTTGATTGAGATTACTCGATGCGTTCATTGGTTCTGCTGCTAAGTTTCCTTTGGATTCTAATTGGCCACGGCAGAATTTAGCTTGACCTTGAGTTGACCAATACAAGAAGTTACCACCACTGTGCAAATGAGTATATCAACGTTGATGGCATCAATTTTGGGCAGAGGCAGTCAACACATGACCAGATTAAATTCTCAATAAATAAATCATCCCATTCTCACCACAGACAACAGTCAACCGGGCTTTTCTCAGCGACATCTTGCGTATCCTATCTAGTCATTTCTGTTGGTTGTGTTTGTTTAAATGCGATTGCTTACCGCAGTTTTAAATTTAAGCAATTTCAGTGGCCGCCAGCAAGTGGCAAACTTGGCGGTCGCGTTGGCCAGATCGCCACGTCCACAGGATCACCCTCACGGAAATCGTAGGGATATTTGGTGTGCAAATAAAGACATTGACGTCCTACACTGATATCTTAGTGGCAAGTCTGAGATTAATTTTTTCGGAGTTGATTTGCGCCTGACAAGTTGATTGGACTGCAGACATTTGATATTGAAGTTCTCAAAATTTAACGCCTGAGTAAGTACCTCTACAGGAGGCATTTGCTTGAACTGATGGCTTCAAGGAACACTCAGAACTGAAATGCAGTCCAGACTTCTGCTGAAGTATGTTCCACGACGGACTACTTCAATCTGTGAAATGACCAGACATCGGACACGTGATACATTCGTCTCAACAACAGACGGTGGATCGTATGCTAAAAATTAGCTTCTGTAAAACCTGTTATATCGACATCCTTGATTGGTCCATTTTACAACACTACGGCATGACTCATTAAAAGCCCTCAGATACCTTTAGGAGGCAAGGAAGTCACAGGATTGGTTTTTCACCAGCACCCCAAAAACTGTTTAATACTTTTACACAAAGCTTTCATCGAACCGTAAGAAGATATCGCTAAATTAACGCACCCTTGGGGCAATGCCATGAGGTGTCGATGCTCATAAAATCGATTAAACCCCTGCATAACTTGTAAATCGATAATTCAAATAATTACTGCTGCAGTCGTGAGCATGTATGAGCTAGGTAGGTATGTGATATGCACCTCCTCAAATAGATCCTGTCCAATTCACAAATCTATTCATCGGCGAGTGTGCAATCCACTACCTTCGCTAAGAATCCGTGTCTCGTAGGATATTCGCGTTTTTTTTACGTAGATGAGAATTCCACAAACATTTTCTCTTCTAACTTACCCTTGTCGCCATAGGTCTCCACTCCGAAGGCTGGAAACCCGTTCTCGAAACGCCCCTCAAACTTCCCAGGCGCGTTCTCCTTCCCCTTGACGCCCATGGTGATGAAATCGTCTTCAAATTTCCCCATAATCACCCAGTCCTCGCGGTTGAAAACGCCGAAGCCGTTGCGTCGGTTCATCGCCCATTCTCCCTCGTACATGGCGCCCGGCGCGTTTGGCCACAGGAACACACCCGACTTCTCGGAGCCCGCTTCCCATAGGCCAGTGTACTCGCCCTGTGATTTGTCCTTGGTTATCAGGCCCAATCCGACCGCCTTCTCATCCAACCACTCTCCAATGTAAATCCCGTTGTCGCGGAACTCGTATCTGCCCGCCGGAAGACAAACCGGTTTGATGGGGGTCTGGTCTTTGCTGTTAGCGTGTTGGCCATCGGTGGCTTGTTTGGTGGTCGTGGTGGTGGACAACGAAGCCGTCGCAGGTGCGACAATTTGAGGCACCGCGAACACCGTGTTAGACATCCTAGGACTCGTCTTCTAGGCTACACATAAAGTCGCCGTTAGGTCGAAAAAGGGGGATCGAAAACACAGGTCAGTGTGCTGAAGCGAGGCCGGTTACTGGTGCCCAGAAGCCACCTTCACACGCGTGCACCAGGCAGCCAATCAGGTGGCCGCATTGGTGTGCGCTCATTGGTTGGCTGACCGCATCGATTGAATGCGCGCGAGCCTGCGTGCGTTCAGGAAGATGCCAAAATAGCTTACTGACGTGCGTGCTTGATCAAGGGCACTGGGAGTGACCTTCGGATGCGATGGCGACAGGAAATAATTGTTTCATATTTTAATGCACTTAAAAGTCTGTACCGAGTTACTTGAACGTTGAATTCACTTCTGAAATGCAGTGATTTGGCGACACGAGTAGATATTTCGGCATCCAATAACGTTATTTCTTCTGAATAAAAACGTCCTTTTTAAGCCTACTTTCAAGGTTAATTAGCAGGATTTAGTTCGCGGGTAGTTCGTTTTCAACTTGAGCTACAAATTCGACAGAGATATCGCGAGCGTTAACAAAGCGTCTGTTCCAAAGATTTTCACTCAAAGCTAGCCACTCAAAGATACCGATGTTGACGATGACAAAATCAATAACACAAGTAAATCGATTTGTCGCCATTTACCTGCTCGAGAGAACGTGGAGTTAGAATATAGCACGCCCTGAATTGTCGATAATTATTAAAATTGGCTTTGAATTTTCACTAATTTAGATATCTGAGATTTGAGCAGTAGTTTGATCTGTTTTGAAAAATCGATAGTCTGCAATGACATAAATCGATCGATACGGTCATGGTGCGAGCGTGATGTACCAACATACTTAAAATCGCGTTATAAAGGCTTATACGGACTTGCAGGTAAGGTGTTATTGACTTACAAGTAATCGAACTATTACTTTCAGTATACATTTTCAAAAACTACTGCAACATGGGTAATAACCAATCAATGCAAAGCGGTAAAAACAGCCAATCACAAAGCAATCGTGCTCCAACATGACCATACATGATTTCACGCACTTTCCGAAATCGTGATAAATTTTTATGGTTTGGCTTGGGAGTCATGTTGATTTCCTGATATAACTTAGACCTTCCACCGTCAGACTTTTATTCATTCCAAAGCTTGCGCAGCTGTTTAAATGGGTTAACCTTCGATGGTGTTGATGATAGCGAGAGCATGAAATCCTGCCTGGCTCTGTTTTACTGATTTGTGGAGTTGGCAGTGGCACGATGAAAGGTTGTCCAAAAGAAATGGACCACAAATAATTGATCAGAGGTTGCTCTTTGTACTGGTAACCTAGTTATCGTTCTTGCTGCTGCATTTAAATTAGAAGATCTCGATTCAGGGATTAAGCATTTTTACACACATTCCATCTTACGTGAGAAAAAATATATATATAGCGCCTCTTAAGGCACCAATAGATCAGCATTGCGCAGCAGTCACGATGACGTAGGCAGCGATATGGGAAAAAACGAAGGCGAATGCAGAGGGACGCCATGTGTTCCCATACAGAAGTGAACTCGTGCGAATTTCATAGGTTATTTTATCTGCCATTTCGAACTAAGGTTGTAAACGCTGGTGGAATTGACCGTGGGACCGTCACAGCAACTTGCAGTGGACTGTCAGCGATCGCACGCTAGCATTCCTACCTCCGATTGGTCAATCTTATCAATCACCTGTTACACAAGCACACCCCACCCCCACACAATGACAGTTGGCAGGCGTAATAGTAATAAATGTTTGTGTCCGATGTCGCCTCTCTTTTCGGGTTATTAACTACGAGGGTTGTAATGTGGTGTGCCAGCACACCACTACACAATGACACCCTCGCACCGTCGTAATCCTATTTTGGAAATCTAGACCTCTGTGATTACACTCGAAGGAAGGTTTCACATACGATTATTTGACTAATTCCACGGTGTACACAGCCTTTTATGCATCTGTTGAGAATCGTGTTTATTCACACTACTTAATACGGTCGATCCACCTCCGACACAGGGTTCCCCTTTTCGCAGCATGTCGCCAGCCGTGCGGATCCTCAACTCCCCCCTTACTCGCACGAGTATTTACCTTGGATTATCCTCACACCTAGATGTCGATGTTAGCGCATGTATGACTCACACATCCGAAGTATAAATAAACACCCTCAAACGCCACCCACGACACCAACGTGGTGGAGCTCTGAAGTAAACGGTTGTGTCCACGTCCTCTCCGGTGATCTTTTCCTTCATCGCGGGTATCAGGGAAGCGTAATCGGGCCAGGGTTAATTCCGTGGCCCCGGCGTGATTCAAGACCACATGCTGCGGCCGGTCCACAACACATATGCTCACGTGGATTAACTGCGCAGCAACTGATAAGCCATCGCCTTTATGCCATGAACACTCCAGGTTTTACAACTAACACTCTCATGACAAGAGAACCGCCCCCCCGGATTTTAATCAAACCACGGACTAAATGAGGGCTGCGACCGTCACAGACATTTGCTGTGTCCCTACGGTGCACTCTAGCATTCACAGCTACTGATTCGTTGGAAAGACGTCGAGAAGAATCAAGATATGCCGCAGACTTGATTTCAGGGTCGCTTCGCGTAAACACGAACACGGACACACTCCACGTCCAGATCATCACGTCCATCCCCAATCGTTTTGTCCATGTGCAGCCCCCCAGATCCACCAATCAACGAAAGCCTCGTTGTCACTTGCATTTTTACAAGGTAGGTCACCACGAAAGCAAAATATACACCCCACAAAGACGGCGCGCGTGAGTCTAGGGGTGTTTGGAGGCGTACAACTGCTTCACAGCCTTCGCATAGGCCTCGAGGTGGCTGGGATCGTCAGCTCCGACCACGGGCTCCAGCGGGACGTCCTTTATCTCCGGCCAGTGGTAGTGTCGACGTCGTGGCTGCCTCCGAGGTTTCTTCCACGGACCCAGGACCTCCTCTGTGGGCGTCTTGAACATCTGCTCCACCGCCGATCTGTACGCCTTCACCGCGGGCAATTCGTCTATCTAAAAATACACACACACACAATAGGCAGGAGAACCAATAGAATGTCCGCCGTCTGCTATCGACAAAATGGCACGCAGCACGCAAATGCTGCACAGCGACGCAACCCATTGTAGTGTGCGTTTTGTGTTGGCCGTATTTTAACACTAAACCAAAGATCGGATATTTTCACAGTTCAGTGGTATTTGCTGCCTTTTTTTCGAGTTTAAATCGTAAATAAAATCTTCAAGATACCATTGGCTCAAAACGCATCAGCCAATAGTAAGTAAATGAACTGAAGGTCGTGCAAAGTGAAAACGCATGATGCGTCTTCTGAGAGCAAACAGCAAAAACGCAACCCTAGCCAACCAAACACAATCGATATCGGCACATTGATTATCCCTTGTCCATTTGAGCAACTCTTCAATTTGATTGGCTACCAACTAACATTAATATTAAAGCCGGAAAATAGCTCTACATTATTGGCGAAGTGGTGAAGAGCAAATTTTAAACAAACGAAGGAACTTCAACGATAATTTTCCCGTGTAGCGAGAGCCCCAGCCTCTGTGGAAACGACGATCGAACAGCACCTCTGCACGGACCAATCACGAGGCGACCTAGCCATTTGTCTCCAACCAATCAGAAGACAGACAGCTGAGACAAGAGGGCTTACCTCTGAGGCACTGGGAGTAGCGGTTTGAGGCGAAAGAAGCTTGAGAATGCGCTCGCGTTGGCGACTTTTCTCCCACTTGAAGTCGAGGTAGCTCCCCGTCTCGTCGTCCTCCCAAGCTTCGTGTTTCTGCGGGAAATTAAGAAAAGGTAAGAGCGCATCAGGAGCTGGGTAAATCTAACTCAAATATGACAGTTTGGGACTTTACATGACACCAGGGGAAGCCTCTTTGACGTCAATCATTATCAATTGCATTACGAAATATACATATACTACTCACGAATAAGATAGGTAGACTGCTTTGACCGTATAAAAAAGCAAATTTGTGTAAAAGCGTAGCGCCTTAGCGGTTCTTTCAATTCACACGTAAAAAATCTGGTTTTTACATAGCTTTAAGGGAAAAACAGCCCTTTGCGAGAATCTACCAATGAACTGGAAAACATTACTACTTTAATATTTTAAGTAAAACTTTTTATTCAGGGAAATGTTAATGCCGATATCTGTTCAGGTCAATGTCTCAGTAAGCCGTTTAGACACGTAGATCGTAATAAGCCGTCCATACCTCAAAAACCAATAGTGGTGCAGCACTGCTAAGATACACACAGCAACAATTCACTGAAAATAATGTCAGGTTGCCATGGTAGCAGGTCTTAAGATACTGATGCTGCGTGGTAATGATGTCAGGTTGTGTGTTTCTGAAATTAGACCACATTTTATGGACAAAGTGCATCAATGACTTAAATTCTGTGAGAATCATAAACACAAGTCCACTATGCACATATTTTCCCGCAAAAACAGCAGTAAAGTGGGCTAGGAATTCACCCTTGACTCCAAGGTTAAGACGGTGAGGACGTATGCGAGGTAGTCATAGTTCTGACGCGATATTGGGCACCTCTCCGAGGTGAGTACAATCACATCCTCGTCGGAGTAGTACTGGCCCATGCCTCGCTCGAAGCCGTACGCCTTCACCAGTCGCAACAGCTTGAGGCGGCCGTGTTCATCTAGTCCGAGGCTCTTCACTGGAACCTACAGCAAGTCTTAGCATTACGAACTACTGAAAACGACATAAGTAGCAAGTATTTTAGAGTAAGAATACGCACCCGAATACTGACTCGTCGTGCACGTCTATCGCGGATGGAGGGTGCGCTGTTGACAAAAGCGCGCGTGACCACCTCCACAGGATAGTGTTTGTCGACGTCCTCGTCGGATTTCAGTCCGGAGGGCCACTTTGTGGTGAATTCTGCCAGAAAGAAGACACATTATTGATTTGAGGGGTGTTGGGAGGGGGTGGTGGTGGAAATTAACGCACTCTTCAAGGCCGCGCAGTGCTTCTCTATGTGGCTGGGCGTGAGGTGGAGGAAGTTGGGGATTTTCAGGAGTTCTGCGTTGGCGTACTTGCCTGGAGGCAGGCCTCCATTTTCAACAAGGTTCTACAATGTTTAATCAACAAGAAAAATAATAAAATTAACGTTTCCGACTGAGACTCTTAAGGGTGAATTAACGCGAATGCGTCCACATACCTTGCTGTGGCCCTGACGAATAGGCGCAGGGAACATGGAGGGGCTGAAAAAGTTCTCGCAGGGCCAAACTCTCATCCAATCGTCTTCCTCCACCTTCTGCTCGTGAAGTTGAGAAAACTAGGAGATTGGGAAACAGTTTAATTAGTTTTTCGCCTATCATAAAATAAAGAACAGCGTGATAATGCCTACCAACGGAAGCACAAAATGACAGTTTACATGACAACAAGGCTGATTCGTCACATAAGTGAAGGGTAGTGCTCACTTTGGCTTGGTACAATTCAGTTTGTTTTGTTTCCGTTACTGTTAGACCAGGTATAACCAACGGTTTGAATTCGCTTTTCTTTGATGTTTCTGCGCTGGAATTTGCGCTGTCAGAAGTTGAAGTTTCCAAGGTGGAATTAGCTGAAGTGGACGGAGCATCGCTTGATAGAAATCGACGCAAAAGCCTGCCACATGAAGCGGGCCTTAGGCGTGACAAGCGAATCATTATCTGTAAATACAAAACATACCTTCAGTATTGGTTTAAATCAAACTGGTGACTAGTAAGGGGACCAAAATCACGAGCCACAATCAAATGGAATCATTAAAATGGAGCATACGGGAAAACAGGATACAAAAATTACCCGCTAATTCATGCGAAAAATTTGTAAATAAACTCATGACAGCCTTATAAAAACCACGAAATATGAGGTTAAATTACATTGCAGCTCTAAATAGAGAAATCAATAATAGCAAGTAGCATTCTTTGGACTTTATATAACTCAATGAACTATGATTGTGAAGAGATAACAACGGAATGGTCCTATACGATTTCACTGTAAAAATCTGAAGAATACTAGCATCAACATTGCTTACGAAAATAAAATCGAAAGAGAAACAAAACCGGGCACCTTCACACGTAGTCTAGTGTCAGTGTTGAAGAATTATTCACAACGCGAATTTGATCAGCAACTTTACTAGAATTATTTGACAGAATTTTAGTTAAAAAGGATATTCACAAACAGTTAATATCGTTTAATGTGGACGTTTTGTGGCATTTTATTATAAATTGAAGGCAGATTTAAGTCGAAAGATAAAACTAATAGCATTTATGATTGTACAAATCGTGCATTTTCACCTTAGTCGCATCTCAATTAACTCTTTAAGCGGTCGACGATAAGTAGAGGAAATTCCAGTAAAAAACAATTTTGGAATAATAAAAATAGCAGTAAAATGTATGTTAATTATAATGCACAGACATTAAAAACACATAGAAAATACCAAACAGGTTATATTAATAGCTTTAACCGTGTTAACGTCACGAAATCAGAAAACCTTGTCCCACCGACATATAAACACCAGAAAGCAAATGCACAGTGCAAAATTTACCTATGATTGGTCAATGCGAAAATTTAAGTATGCAACTTCTTTCTGATTTCGCAAAACACCAATATCAATTGCTTCACTTATAATTTTAAAAAAAACCCAGGATATCACCACAACTGTGTTTAATAAAGTAGGCAATAATTATAAGGCCTAAATTTTTAGGGATATTAATTTATCTAGGTTGTTCCTAACTCCACACTGAAAGAATTAAAAATAATAAATTTTTTTCAAAGCAACCAAAAGTGATGTATGAGTCAAATCTGTATGACTAATTTAATTTTTTGCAGCGTTTTCAGTTTTTTAATTTTTTTGAGCTATTTCAAAATCCGACATTTATCACCGAGGAATTAAGCCGCAAAATAATTTGAACGAAACTTTTTTCTGGGTCCAGCTTTTAATTAAATGCTTTCAAGTTATTAAATAACGTAGACACTGGCCACATTGTTGTGCTGTCTGCACTTTTGTGTTTGCCTCGGTGAACTTGAAGTTTCTTGAGCACATTTGCCGCACTCGTTGCCTTTCGGAGCTTAATCCAAGTCCATCACAATTAATATTGCTCTCCATATTCCCATGTACCCTTGTCCGTGTCCCACTTCTAGCCCTGTTCGATTTAATTATCTCAACGTTTAGCCACATTTATATTCATATGTTCAGCCAAAATGTTTCAATAGGCAGAGATGACAGACGACAATCGATCTAATTATAAATGCAAACAGTTGGAGTTATAAAAATTTTTCGGTTTAAACGCGCCAAGAACACTTGAAGGGATTGGTACTGAAAGGAATGAATGAAATATTTTGCGGCAATGAGTAGAACATTTTCCTAGTCGCAAAATGCTATAGACTGTCATTGGACACACAAGTGCAGAGGCCGTTGTCAGTTGATGATAAGGGTAAAGTATTTTAAAAGTCAAATTTAAAAAAAATAATGCAATACAAAAGTCCAGAGTTCAATCTTTGACACTTTCAACGAATTTCCGACAATCATTCAGAATTTCAAAATTTTGTTGGTTTTGAATTTTATCATCTGCCATGATTAAACTTTACGTCACATGTTAAGCAAATATAGTCCCTTTCCTTGAATATAAGTACGTTTTTTCCGATTTCATTATCACTACATGAGAAATGGGCGGAAATGTTAATAAGTCGGATATGAAAGTTATGTGCTTAATTCCAATTAATTTATACTTAAATTAAATTTGAAAATTTGCTTTGCATTTCTTGATGTTAAAGCTTTAATATAGCATTTTGCCAAGCAATAAGTTCTAACATGTTAAACAGTAGTGTTCATGAATTTGGATCGTTTGAAGTTTTACATAAAGTGGTCTACAATCGTAGCAAATTGTTAACATCAGTGGGTATGAGTTTGGTAAATATCTATAGTTGTCTTCAATTAATGTATTGTAATATACACAAATTAATTTATCCGAAAATTTCTAAGGGACAATGCCTATATGTTAGTTGAAAGATCGCTATATTTACAAACAGCATTCACTTAGCAATCTTGATTGCCTTTATTGTCTGGTGTGAATAATAAATAACAATTTTATACACTGACACTTAAGCTAAATTGAAGGTTAATATAATGTATTACGGAGAGCCTGATTTTTGTATAATGTCTGATTGCAGATACGTCTCGCTTTAGTTATAAAAAGGCTTACGTTTTTGTCTTAGAATGTGTGCATGTGCCATGAATTTAATAAATTGAATATATTGTTAAGGACTGTTGGGAAAAAGTCTAATAATTTTTTTATTGCAACCCTTACAACAAACCAACGTGTTTCACTAAATTTAATATCGCAATAAATCTGTACTTAAAATTTTTTAATATTTTAAAGTTGCGTTTAATTTAAAAATTGGCAATATTTTTATTTTCTGGGCCTTTATTTTGTTCCCTATCTTCCTCACTTCATTACACTAAAGTGAACCTCATAGCGTAGTTAGTATTGTAAACATCATGTTTTTTTTTCAAATTTTTTGATTCACCATTGCTTTTTTCAATCACAACGAATCACCTAATTGTGGATGCCCAGTTTGAAGGCCATCATTAAACGCGGGAATACGTATTGGCGTTGTGAACACTTTAAAAGCTTAGTTAGATCAATCTGGATTTTTTAAGTTCCTGAGGGGTCAACTGTACGGATTCGTATAGGTTAGTGTTCTTTTCATAATTGTGTTTCTTTTTTTATGTTACGTCCCTAACTTCAAAGGTCACTATATTTTTTTACAATTTAGGAATTTCTTACATTGTGACTTTTGGCCGACTTTTTTATTATCTGTAAGAGAGAAATAGTTTCGAACCCTGTATTTATATTTTATTTAATCTTTTTTTTTCAAAACAAAAATATGTTGTGCACCCACCCTCAATTTTCATTTGTCGGTAGCGTGGATTTGGCATAGACACCTAAGAATGCGGAGTCAATTTGACAACGTTTTAAATCAACTCTGCTGCTTTTACTATCTATGGTGTTCTAAAAATGTAAACCATGATTACTGATTGCTTACTTAAATAGCTTGTCCAAACTTGTTATCAAGATATATTTCGCGGAATAACTCCCCTTTTTTCTTCTTATTCTCTATGACCGACTTGTGGTGAAAAATTACTTTGGCTTAAGTATGCCTTCATGTTTTACATCTAGCCTCTTACAGAACTTAGATGAGACACATTAACAAGGAGACGTATTTTTAAATTTTCCAAGTAATATATTTATATGGTTCGTAGTTTTGGAAAGTTTGCTTTAATCTTTACTTCACCGCCGAATACTCTTTACAGTGTAATTTACCAAAAATTCAGAGTCAAATTCACATTTTGAAGATCTAAAGGGTTTATCAGCAGAAAGGGATGCCATAACGTGATAGTTGACACTGACTGAGATTTCATCATAATCATGAACAATGCTCGAGTCTTTTCTTTTACTGTTTGCAAGAACTTAATTTTGCTTTCATTTTGCGAAACTTTACGCTTTTTCGTGTTTTAAATAGCTATCAATTGATACAAACGTCAATTTTAGGTAACGCTAAAAAATACCGTTTGAAGGATAAAGTACATTATGCAGACCCAACGGACATCTGCTCATTTTAGGTGTACTTTAAAAAACCGGTTCACACAGCACACTCAAATTGTAGCATCTAATATTTTCTTCCTCCGTGCCTATAATCATCTGAGAGGCTACGTTAAAACAAAATACGTCGCAATAATTAAGGGAGACATCATAAGGCAGTCACAGCCTGATTGGTGAATCTCTATTGGCATATCAATTAATCCTGGCGTAATAAATCGTTTGACAGGAATACAGATTAACGATGGCGATAAGAAATGGCTCATTTGACTGGCCAATAAGTAGACAGTTAATTCAATGCTCAACTATCAATTTGGTTAATTTGTACACAAGTTCGGCTTGCACTAGGCAATGACCCACATGAACTGCACTTAGTCCCAGCACATTCTTTTCAAAAATGGTAGATAAAAATGTCACGTTCCCAAATATGCGATTTTATCGCCTTAAATCCCCTTTAGCTGTAATAGCTTTTTAAAAATAGCTCTTGAGGCAGACGATAACGTTATGTGTTTAAATTTACAAAGACAATGTGTGAGTTTCAGGTGGACATTAATTGTGGACAACAAAACGCACTAACACCTAAAATGCAGCCTTTAACTCCCCAGTAAACAATCCACATGGTCTTTGTATTGATGTTGTTTAAAACTGTCAAACAACTGTAAAATCAAATGAAACTCGTTTTTAGACTTCTGAAACGTTGGATTTAAAACAAATTTTTGATGTGAATGGAAAAAAACTCTACTGTTCGCAATCCAGAGGCTGTCTAGACATTTTGTGAAGTTCGTTTATTTTTTTATCAGCGAGCAGTGTTCGAGCACCCATGCCACTCGTCTGGCATTAAACAGCCCTGTTTGCAACCGTATCAGTTTCGCTTGCTAATATTTACAGTTATTTTTATTTTTTTTTGTTAAAGATCTAAACGAACCCTTTTGGGTTTTTACTTCTAACGGCAATGTTCTCCTGCCTAGCGACTACTAGCCAGCTGAGCATACTTTACGTGAAATTAGAAAAATTTCAGACAGGACGTAGGGCGTGCGGTAGAAGTTCCATAACTTTTGGGAGGT